CACTTCAAATCACGAGTATTCAGTCTGCAACGACGCCTCAACCACGAAACGTCTGATCCGGGCTAATCTCCAATGATCGCCGGCAACTCGCTTCTCGGCTGTCTCGAAAGTCTTAGACTTTCCGTACGTTGTCGTCGGGAAAACGACGATCAACTCACCTTTCATGCTGTGAGTTTGCCTTCCCATAGTCACGAGTTTTTAACTCACGTCTCTCATTCGATCGCTTTGGTGTCGCTTTGTGTGCACCGTCAATCGAGTTAGTGGAATACCAACGATGTGTTTATACATCTTTTAGTTTTACTCGATATATTTCGATGATATTATAATCGAGGATCACATTATAGTGCATTCTGGGTTAAAGTGTTGCCGTTAAATTGTAGACATTCGTTCACTTTATGCTAATATATTTTTTTAATTCTTTGTTTGAAGAATATTACAAAATTATCGTGAATAGAATTATTCCGTTGCGCTTATCATTAGGAAGATTTACAGCTTACACTGTTGATTACGGCTCCCTCGAAAATAAGGGTAAAAGGGAATGATTGGCGCGTTGATGTGAAACCCCCCCTCGGAAGCCACAAAATGCTTGGAAGATTTTACGCAAATCTTCGTCCCCTTGAAAATCGGGTTAAACCGCCGCCACTAACAGAGATAGAGATACAGTGAGAAGGTAGTAGGGGTAAAAGAGAGAGAATGAGGAGGTGCCTTACTGCGGAGTAGAGATTCATTACTAGCCGCACCCCCTTCCACCTCTCGTTCGTCCTCTTTCTTCTCCTTCGTTTCCTTCGGCCCGAGTTATCTCTTCAACCCCGTTCCATTGGTGTTCACGCTGGAGAATAATTATCCGTTGTAGCTTTACAGATAAAAGACCCCCCGTTGAAAGCTACCTTTTCTCTCTTCTCGTTCGCCCTTCATCGTAGCCCTCGTAAATCACAGCAATTTCGAAGTGTCGACGACTGTTATAGCACTTTACCGGCACTTGTGTACACTCGGTCGATAGCTTCCGGCATAGATGCTCTCACGAACGAATACAAATGCTGATTTTAATATTTTTTTAAGCGACCCCATTTTATCTCTCTCTCTCTCTCTCTCTCGTGTAATTGTTTCGAACGATAAAAAGCTTTTAAAAAATTTCCGAAACATTGTTTCATTTTTTTTTCTTTTTTTCTTTTTTTTTTTTTATGATTTTATACCCGTGAAGATTTTCTATTTTTTAACTGATAAATTAATTGACTTGTTTGCTTACATTAAAAAGGATCTTAATTATATTACGTAATAACAAGTTATCAACTTGTATGCGCAGATGGTCTCAGCAAGAAAAAAAAGAGAAAACTGGTGGGTATAGGGGGCTTGTACTCAGGAGTTTCCGTATCGCAACTTCTGGCACAGCGGGAAAGAGCTATCGCTGCTGTTTCCACGTCGGGAGTTCAAGGTTCATCGGTGCCTAATGGATCGCAGGTAAATACCGCTCATAATTCTTCTTTGATTGCTTTGGCGATAATAATGGCTTATTACAAATGCACTTTTCTTTGCAGGTGTGGCCGATCGCGATCCCTAATTTGCAGATGCAACAAAGCAATCAACAAATCTGCCATCAATCGTTAAATTCACCCTCTCAAAATCACGACGTAAATAGTTCGGTACGAAATTCTCAACAGCGGTTAAATCAGCACAATATGCCTGGGATGATAATGGGAAATCCGCTAATTATGAATCAGCAAAGTACTAATTTCAATAATATGACCCAACAACAGCAGCAGCTTTTGCAGCAACAGCATCAACAATTATTACTACAGCAACAGCAGCAACAACAGCAACAGCAGCAACAGCAACAGCAACAACAGCAACTGATGCAGCAACATTTATCGCAGCATCAACAGCAACAGCAACCTCAACAACTTTTACCTCATCATCAACAAATGCAGCATATGCCGTTGTTGCAACAACATCAGGAGCAACAACAGCAGCAGCAACAGCAGCCACATCCCAACGCTGTAGTGAATCAATTATCTCAACAGCAAGTTCCTCATTATATAAATCAGTTGAATCAACAATCCTTGCACGTTATGCAGCAACAACAACAACATCTGAACCAACAACAGCAGCTTCACATACAACAAATTCAGAAACATAATATGCAACCGCCACAACAGCAGCATTTAACATCGGAAATGGATCAACAGCAAACAGGAAATTATAATTCGCAGCTGCCTCAAGAAGGTTACGTACATCATTTACAATCTTCGCAGATGTCGCAACCTGTTCTTCATCCGCTTCAACATCAACTTCATCAACATCAAATACAGCAGCAGCAGCAACAACAACAGCAACAAGATCAGCATGGTATGCAGACTCAAACTATCGATCCATTTCAAATGCAAATACAACAACTACAACAACAGCAGCAACATCAACAACAGTTGTCACAAATGTGCGTGCAGGCTCAATATCCTAATCAGCAATTATCTCATCATACGATGGATATTATACAGCAATCTAACGGCGGGTCCGTTATGAGTGGAATCAATCCTTCTGATTTGCAAAATAGACATGGTCGTACGCAACCAGCTACAGAAGATGATTTAAGTGCTAAGCAAATGCAACAACAGCAACAACAACAGCAACAACAGCAACAACAGCTGTTAATGCATAATCATAACTTACAACGGCATCAAATCGTCGAGAATGGAAATCTGTCAAATAATCCTCACGAAAATGCACAACGAATGTATACGCAAGGCCAAGTTCAATATCCAGCGAGAAACTTTGATACTCAGAAGATATCGACTGTGGAAGCCAAATTTGGTCATCAACAACAATACACTTTAGTCAGCCACGCGGGAAGAAGTCCAACTATTAACCATGCTACAGAAGTACAATCGGGTATGGGACCAACTAGCGGACAAGCAGGAAATATACATTTTAACGCAAGAGCACCTCCGTGGCAACAAAATCGTACAGTTGTCACGACTAATCAGACTTCATTAACTACGGTCCAAAATATTACTTGCAATTCTTTTGATCGTGTTCCTCCTCTCCATCATCACATTCCACAGACGTCAACCTGGACCGACGAGGTAGCGAGGAAGAAAGCCAAGTCAACTAAGAGTATGATGAAAAAACAGCGTCAGCATGGTACATCAGATATGAGGAGTAATAATGGCCTGGATCAGCCAATACCAAGTCCAATTGACGAATTTAATGACAAAGCGCAACAGAATAGCGATCAAATTGGTTCGACGGTTAACAGCAGTGGTCCTTCATTTTTAGAGGATCCTAGTGGTTATTTAGCACAGCAAACTGCTTTACTAAATAGTACGATATCGCGGCAAACTGGCGTTAATAACACTCAAGTGGCCATATTGAACAGCCCGAAAGTACAACAAACGAATCATAGTACTCATACAGCGAGTAATCCCTATCTTGCGCAACCAAAGCCTTCCTCTGCTGCCAGTCCTTCAAGTACAACATTTAATTCTGTGAAAAATCATGCCACTTCACCAGTAGTGGTACACAGCAGTATGACGCCGACGTCTAGTAATGGTGCCATCGATTCCGACGGTAGCCCTTGCCATGGCTGTGTTAGCAGTGGTGACAATCAATCCTTCGTTCAAGATCAATACAACAAACAGCAATTACATCGACAATACGTATTGCATTCTGATCAACGCGAGGATCCAGTTACATCGTCGACGTTTGGTGAGAAATATCAAGGGAGTCAACAACAAATTGATTCAAGACCTATTCAAGGAGGTACTGTTAGTACTAGTCATGGTTCACCGATCGGTACAAATAGTCCAGCTAATTCGGATGTCCCTGCTTCCTCAACACCTGGAATATCTCAACCAGCAACACCTCAAAGTTTAACTTCATCCCAACCATCGACCCCGCACAGTTATTCTCAACCACCAACGCCCCATTCTCTTGCATCGTCGTCTGGTCAATTACCATCTCAACCTTTAACTCCACACTCTCATCCATCTTCATCGAATCAGTTTGCAACTCAACCGTTAACTCCTCAGGCACCGCAGCCTTCGCAATCATCGTCTAATAACAGTTTGGAACAGCACTTGGAAATGTCGTGTACAGTTGCAAATAATCCCAATGCTGTTTCACCAAGTACATCTCCTTCTCAAACATATTCTACGCCTATGGACAATATAACGTCTCAGCTACCAAAAAGACAGGCTGTCAGTACGAGACAGCTATCGTTAGATGGCTATCAACCACATCCACATACAGTGAATACAGTTTCAAGGATACCATTAAATTCTTTTACCAGTACGTCGTCCGTGATAACGACTATGGCAAGCGGACATACGGTTAGTAGTAATACAATTACGTCTGTGCTTGCTGGAAGAGCGAATACGGCGACCGTATCTATAAATACGCCCTTGGGGATGCCTAACCCCGCTATTTTAAACATTCTTTCCAATAAGCCTCAACAGCCAACAACGGCATCGCCCGCTCTCGTGAATGTAACAGCGACGTCGACAACGGCGCATCATCCACATTCGATACCCCTTACACCTAGTCAATCGTCGACGATCACAGTATCGAAGTCACCATTGGAGATGGTTCAGAGTGTAGTAAGTAGTATTCAGGTACCTCAAGCGACAATTAATTCACCAATGCCACAGACTCAACAACAGCAACATCAGCAACAACAACAGCAGCATCAACAGCAACAACAACAACAACAACAACAACAACAACAACAACAACAACAACAACAACAACATCAACAGCAACAACAACAACAACAACAGCAGCAGCAACAACAACAGCAGCAGCAACAACAACAACAACAACAACAACAACAGCATGCTCAGCAACAACAACATCCGCAATCGAACGTTCAAGTTCACAATGTCCTTACATCTGGTGGTATATTGAAGCATCCAACAGGATCTACTTTGCCACCCGGACATATTTTAGTGTCCAGTGGTGGACAACTCATAATGGCAAGCACTGGGTCTGCTATTAATGGTGTGATGGCACCGCCACCACCGAAAATCATTTCTAATGCTAATTCAATGCCACCGTTATCCGTTTCGCCGATGGTCACTAGTGTAACTGGAGCAGTTAGTCAAGTTATACCGGCAGTTGGTGTAGCTCAGCAAGTGATAGGACAACCAACGGTTTTGGTTAATGCTATACAAACACCGGTTCTTATTCAACCCGGTGTTATGACGATGGACAGTATTGGACAAAATGTACAAATACCTCATCTCACGGTTGCTACCGGGAACGTTATACAAAATGCTCAGTCCATCTTAGACGCAAATCAAGATGTGACGAGGAACGTGAGTACAAATCAGGGTATCGTGAACCGTCAACCGGCTCTACTTTCACCCGAATCCGCGCTGAGTAAAAAGAAAGCGTACAAAAAACGAAAGACCAATCCTCAAACCGTAGCGTCGATGCTTCACATTGCTTCGTCTCAACAAAATGCGGGTATGCTGATGCAATCGCAATCGAATTTTGCGCAGCAAAATTTCCAAGCACAGAGCATAGGTGGGCCAATGTTGCAGGCCCTTACAATTGTTCCTGGCAAAGGCGGTGCACCCGCTCAATTGGTCATGAATGGTCAAACAGGTGCAACGTCCGCGCAATTTAACACTCAACAGATTATTACAAATCCTCAACCTGCTCAACAAATAAATCTTTTGCAACCGGTTAATTTGTTGAATGGAGCAGCTGGAATGGTACAGAATTTCCCTACCATCCAACAGTTTATCGTGCCTGGAATAGGAAGTATGGTCATGTCTGCAGACGGTACTGCGACTTTGTTGCAAGATACTGGAAATATAGGAATGCAGCTACAAATACAAAATGTAAATGGTCAAAATGTCCTTACGCCGGTGCAAAGTCATAGCGGAATATTTAGTCCGAGTCAAAGTATTTTGGCAGCTGGACCGGCTGGGATGGTGATCAGAGCACCGCAAGCAACTAGCAGCAAAATCATTCAACAGCACAGTCCTGGTGCACAGTTCCTGTCTCCCAATAGTGGTCAATTTCTAGTAAATGGAACGACGTCTTTTGGGAATCAATTGAGTCCAATAGTGGCCAATGTTAGTCCCAATCAACAGGTGACATTTAATACGTCTCAGGTTAGGCCACCCAATATGCAGGGCCAACAGGAATTTATACAAATGAACGGCCAAACGTTGATGGTACCTTGCGCGACCGCTCAGAATATTGCCGTTTCATCAGCACCGAATCAACAGAACACAACTTTCGTTCAGCAAAATACAACTATCGTTCAACAACAAACCACTATGGTATCGAACAATCAGATACCAAATTTTCAGGCAGCGCCTTCGAACAATGCAGGTCCCGTTGATCCAGCTTTAAATCTAGATCACAATCAGCCATATATTCTAAGTTCGGGCATGATCTCAGGAAAACCGCCATCTTCTCCAAAAAATAGCATTAATTCTCCTACCTCTGATCAAAGTATAGAACAGCAGCAATATGTTCTTGCTAGTAGCAGTACTTCCGTTGTCGAAAAAACGGGACAGCAGATCGATCAACACAGTCCGTTGATGGCGAGGCATTCCGTATCGACTCAAACAGCTGGTAATCAAGCAAATATAGTACAGGCGGCGATGATGAGACAGGGTTCTCCACCAGATACGACTACGCATAGTCCAGGAAATAGTCAGCGGTCAAACAGTCCAGCTGTCGACACGACAACACATGGAGCAGCTTCTCCCGCGCCACCGATCAGTGCCAGACAGCATTCTTCATCTACGGTAATATAAGAAGCAATACATTATAAGATATAATACATTAGAATACGTGATAATCATTATTATTATTTTTATAATTGTATATTTCTGCTTTTCCTATTTTTTTTTTCTTTTTCCTTTTGTTTTTTTTTGTTTTTTTGTTTTTTTCTTTTTTTAAAGGACGAGCGTGAAGTCGAATTTTTTAATCGTATGGTTTTAGCCCATGGTTCATTGCGTGTCAAGCAGCGAACCCGATTCTGGTGACATCACGATGACGTCAGAAGATTGGAGGATTCAAGGTGTTACCACGAAAGAGATCACACTAAGTCAACCCAATCTTCATGGGAAGACTTACGTGGAATCGACGGTGACTACTGGGATCCAGGTTGGTACCCATGTAGAACAGGGTAACCGTCATCTAGCTCTAATAGACATGCATCAGCCAGCCGATACGACACACGCAGAAAACACATACGCTGACTCACAGGAGCATATGGACACATCATCACCAAATCATTCCATTTATTCAGACACAATGGACCACTCTCCACTGGAGGATCAGCTGAGCGTCCCTAAAGAAATAACGGATATCTCTCATCAAGAGATCGATGTCAATAATCCGTTGCCTATTATAGGACAAGCGCATTATCAACCGATCCTCTATCATAGTCATCATTATGTGCCTAATACGAACGTGTATCGGCAGCAAGCCTTAGTGCCAGATCATGCTCATTATACGATGCTACCTCACGCGAATAAATTCGATTCTAAGTCTTGCGATATTGAACTTCAGCATAATATCGTCGAAGAAGATAGCGATCAAAATCCCGAAGATAAAACTTCGGAACGAGAAAATATTCCCTATTGTCCCCAAAATGTAGCCTGTCAAAAATTCATTGGCGTAGGTATCGCCGCGCCCGGTCTTTATCCCCATTTATATAATTATAGGTCTGACCCTAGTGGCATTGCTGTCGTAAATTATTCACCAAACAAACAGGCGTATATAAATCCTTACGTTTACAGTCAACTTGCATATGCCCAAGAGGGTGACGATGGGGAGGAGAGTGATTCCTCGCTTGAGGAATAGCATCTTTCTTTCGTACGGTCGATCGATTAACTTTAATTGAATTTGTATATTAAGAGAAATAGGTTCCACAGTGGCAGCCGCGGATAAATGGCGAAACACTCATTGCGAACCCATCATAAATCGCTAACATTAAGTTTGTAATTAATTTGTATCTAACGTTACTTTTACTTTTTATGCGCGTCTTTTTTTTTTTCCTTTGCGACGCGGAGCATACATGCTCGATCCATCTATAGCGTTATTATTTAAAACGTAAATACATTGCAATAATGTAAGCGTATTATTAACCGTGTGCTAGCGGATTATTTGAAAAGATCATGGTTCTTTATATTGAGAAGAAATAAATCTTTTGCTGAACAATATCCTTCTGATAATCGAATAATATAATATATATATATATATATGCGTATATATATATATATACACACATATATATGTATATATATATACACACACATACATACCTTATGACGAAAAAAAAATCTTGCAATGAGCATGCATTAAAAAGTTTGAGTTTGTTTATCTCGTATCGTTCTTGTTTTTGCATGTCAAAATGAAAGAATGAAATCAAACGTGCCACCTTCTTCTTAATCATTTTATCGTAAGCGCGTTGCTATATAAGTTTGTGATTGTTTTACGTTAGATTCTACGTTGCCTATGTTTTTTTTTTTTTTTTTTTTTTCTTTTTTTTTTTTTATTATTGATTTTTAAACAGCTTCTCGAGTAACCACAATAAGTTTTAATGATAAAAGAAAATATTGGAGAAAGAAAAACTATACGGATATGATCTGATATTCGTGTGCTTTTTTATTCTTATCCATTTGCTCGGTCGATTCGAAAGAATGATGACGCTATTGCTAAAAAAAAAAAAAGAACATACACACATATGGTTTAATGCGAATATTAGTTGGAAGTGTTTATTATTTGATATGATATTAGCATGCGGTTGGTAAGCTTGTGCCTGAGTTGATCGAGTTGTATTTGACAGATCTATACGTCAGAGACGTTGAAGCAAGCGGAAGGTGTGGTGAGCACGGTGAGGTGCGAGGGCAGGGAACATGCCCTCGGCCGAGGAATCAAGCGAAAGCTGGAGTCCATCCATTCGATGCATTCCACCCTGCATGAAGACCAAGATGGTCAGTATTTTGTACGGTACAATTAGATCTTAATTAAACGTCAATAGCTAGATTAATTTTCTTTCGAAGAAAGAAGTATTCTTGTAGGAACTATTCGATTTTTATAAATTTTACCAAAACTTAAACCAATGAATTTTTGTTAGTTTTCTGTCAACAAAATGTACTTTTTTTTGAAAATTCTTACATACAAGAATACTTCTTAAAAATACTAGCGCAAAAGAGGCAATGTAAATTTTCTTGTAGATCTTGAATACTTATTATAATACTTGTCAATCTAATTCAATCTTTTTTACGAGCTCTTAAAATGTTTTTAATGAAATGTCACTTTTTAAAAAGCACGTGAACGTGATAATTGCAACATTGATTTCACAATACAAAACGTACGAAAAATTTGGTACGAGGGGAATGTTATTATCGGTTATGCCTTTTTGATTTGAGTATATTTGATTATGAAATGCCACGCGATGTGTATTATAAGACGCTCTTCAAACTCACATTTGCATTGATATTTGCATGAATGACGACGGTCTTTCTTTGCTTGTGCATGTTTAGCATAACGCGCGTATTCATGTGGTACGCTTACTCGCTGCATGGTAAATTGCTTTTGTAATCGCTTGGAAGTGTTTGTAAGTTCTTCATTCTATATTCACGATTGTAACTTTTAACGGCCATTTATCTTTCTTTTATCCTACGGTATAAAGAAAAAAAAAAAACAAAAAAAAAAAATATAAAAAAAATAAAAAAACAAAAAATAAAAAAAAATAAAAGAAAATAAAAATAAAAAAATAAAAAATAAAAGTTTATTTACGCACGTAATTTGATATCGCGTGCGTAAGTAGAGAAACGAGAGAAAACAAACAAATAACATTTCGTCATAAAGCTGCTTTATCATTAATTACATTCGCACGAATGTTTACGGAACAGGTAAGTGACGTCAGTACTAAACGGATTTCATTTATTGTTCGCGTATTAGATTTGTAAAGTACATAAAATAACAATGTTACTCGTTATATGTAAATAATATACGTCAAAGTTTCGTTGCGTTTACTAATTGGCTGTCAGGTTTGTTAATATCATATTCTCGCAATCACATCGAATTGTGTGGCCAGGGGGCTTCAATCACATATAAGTTCACTTTGTAGGGGGTGTGGCTCATCGATTTACGGCGTTACCTGTATATATTCATCCTCACATAATTTTTGTACATAATTGCTATGGCATGCGCGCAATACGTCGTGGGTGAAATATTGACAAATTTTATAACAAATTCGGCTTTGAAAAAATTTCAATCGTGTCATAGGAATTTCATTTAAACGTTCATATTATGATAAAGTGCTATGATAAATGGATAAGATTTGAATTTGTTCGTATCATAATTTATAAAATTTTAATTTACTTGAATCGTTTAAAGTTTCAATTTAAATTCAAAATAATTTCAATCGAGGAGCTCATATATTTTCTATTAATAATTATTTTTTCAAGTAATCGAGACAAAGAAGATTTTTCCTTTTAACAAAGATTTGACACAAAAATACAATTAAAATCACTTGCATGTGCTCACACGAACAACTTGATATATTTTATCCCACTTCTGATTTTGCCTTATCATCAGTGAATGATGCAACTAATTATTTTTAACGAGCACTCGCGCGAAGCAAGAAGCACATTTCGGAGGATGGACAAATGTACGGCTCGATGTAAAAGACGTAGTTGTAAAATTCTAACAATTCACCAAGGCAGTACGAGCTACGGGACTAATTTTTCTGTGACACGCACCGCAATCATAATTAAGCGTTACGTTGTTTTGCGCTGCACATCTGAAACAACAATTAACATCCAAATGGCGAAGAACTCTGTAAACTCGTTTGATATTTATTTAATTATGCTCAAAATAATCTTGAAAATCAAAAAACATTACAATAGTTATCATGCATTACGATAATTTATATTATATTTTTTTCTACAGTTTCGAAATGCCAGACTTTTTCTCTTTGCACTCGAGTATAAACAAAAAAAAAAAAAAAAGAAAAAAAAAACAAATAAACAAACGATTAAGCTTTCGATAACAAATTATTTACAAATTAATTACACATTGCTATTAATATCAAATAAAATCATATTTATATATCCAAGTAATATTCATTGTTATTTAAAATTTATTTGCCAATTTCTGTATGATATATTTAAAATTATTTCAAATAGTTCGATAATGTTATAAAAATATATATCAAGTGCAAAGAATTAAGGGACAATCAAAAATACGTACGAGCTTGCAACAAGTGTCCGTATAGTGAATATTTCAATAGTCTGCATAAATCCATTAAAAAAAAAAATGAAAAAAAAAGAAAAAAAAAAGAAATAGAAAAAAAAGAAAAGAAAAAAAAATTTTCTTTCCAATATCTCGATAATAATTCCTCTCGCACCATGTATAATATAAAACGAGCCACGAGCCCCGTTTATAGAGAACGAAAAGTAGATAAAGATAATAAGAAAAAGAAAAAACAAAGGATCGTTCTTTGGAATCCTCAGTAGCTGAGACAAAGGTGGAGGAGAAAAAGCAATGGAAACTGGAAGTGGGTGAACTCGTGTGGGGTGCAGCAAGGGGGAGTCCCGCTTGGCCGGGTAAAGTCGAGTCCTTGGGTCCACCGGGCACGATGACAGTTGGGGTCCGTTGGTACGGGGGAGGGGGCACTCTCACCCAGGTCGATGTCAAGGCCCTCAAGTCGCTCTCCGAAGGCCTCGAGGCACACCATCGTGCCCGAAAAAAATTTCGGAAGTGAGTTTGATTCGACCTTTTTCAGATTTCTAGCAAAGAGATCGAGTCTTTTTCACGAATCTTTTTTTTTTTTTTTACAAATTCTCATCTATATAACAAAATTGTTTTTCAAAGAAACTTTTGTCCTTTAGCAGACAATTTCATCGGAATGAAAGTGGATTGCTGTACGCGGCTGACCATTATCGATTTGTGCTATTTAATTAAAAAAAAAAAAAAGAAAAAAAAAGAAAAAAAAAAGAAAAAAAAAGAAAAAAAAGTAGCATTTGTCTTTTCATGAAAAAAAAAGAGAAGGACGTTTGATAAATTAAAAATGATCACGTGAAATGGTCATAAACATACAGCAATATTCATTAGCAAACCAACAGCCAATTAATTCATATGATATAAATCGATTTCTTTTACGTGTTCTCGCAGTTTTTATTATCGTAAGCGCAACGAACGAATTCTACGGAGGAACGATGATTAACATCGAATCATGTAGAAAAGATAACGATAAAATATTTGGAAAACTATAAGAAATGAAATTATATATGTGTTTACTATACATATATCTTTTTTCTTAACGGCGTTTGTTTTTATCCTTTTCGTAGCACGTTTAGATTTTCGTTTCGCTTTTGCTTGATACACCGATCATATTATTATTAATTATTATTATTATTATTAATTATTATTATTATTATTATTATTTATTTTTTGTTTTTATTATCATTATCATCATTATTATTATATAACTTTATTTAATCGTGTGCCGATCGAAACGGCATTCCAAGGCCTATTAATCGATTAACTTTACGATTTTATACTTGATCCTTGTGTTTTTTAGAAGTCGTAAATTGAATATGCAATTGGAAAATGCGATACAAGAGGCTATGGCGGAATTGGACAAGATAAGCGAATCGTCGCATCATCGAGAGAAGGCGACGTCGGCGGTAAGAAGATCGTCGAAGGTTTCATCGAGTCCAACTACGACCACGAGAAGTCCTGCTAGCAATGCCGTCGCTAAAAGATCGTCCAAGAGATCAATGGGAACAAGTTTAGATAATGGAAAAGCCGATCAGAAGCAATGTCGATGATAATTCGTTTTATAACAAATTATTCGCCTATCGTAGATCAGAATAATTCGAAAATACGAAAAATCGATTAATTTGAATGTCGAACGATATAGATGGTACATAGCTATATTTCCTATTATTATCCATTCCCTCCTTTAATCGGACCCGAAGAGAAAAAAATCTTTGAATTTTCTTCGTTCCTCTTATTCCTTATTTATTCCGTCTAGAGTCCTGAAAGGTCCTTTACGATTGATTAGCATCGAAGAACACGTTCTCCCGATTGCATTTCTTTGAAACGAAAAAATCGAGACACGCATACCTATCTTGACGTCGTTCGCTTCTTGTCGATACCCTTCAATTAAGAATTTCTCAGTTGTTCGAAGTTGCGATTGATCGCTGATAAAAGTATTCCCTTTGTCGGCTGTCACTCGTTTCAGAGTAAAGGGAGATTAATCGTTACCGCGTTTGTATAGGCGAACGCCTATATAATAATCCAACGTTTCTCATTCCTCATTCCATCTTTTCTACAAGACGTAAACTTTTTTCTTTTCCTTTTCCTTTGCGTGCAAATATCATCGGGAAAAGCCTAACTAGTCTAAGAAAAACGAACGAAGAAAAGTTTTATGTCGATATAATCGAGAACGAGAGAGAGAGAGAGAAAGAATGAGAGAGAGAGAGAGAGAGAGAGAGAGAGAGAGAGAGAATGATATGAAGTGGGGAGATGAGAATCAGAGTGATCGGAATCGAAGTAACGAGCCGTGAGAAAGGAGAACTAATCTCTAATGGCAGCATGGGGATACTTTTTATATCAGGCCTGTCTACGGCTACCGAGCTCTCGGCTTTTCATCGACGTCCACTCGCATAATTGATCGTTACTTCCTGTTCGTTTGTTCGTTTGTTCGTTACAACGACTGCGAAATTAACGATTTAAAGATCTCGCTCGTTACGATCTTGCGACGTTTACCGATATAATGAGATCAATTTCAACTTTGAAAAAAAGATTAAATTCATTGTTCGATTAATCGCGAATTATTATTATTCCAATGGTGCTAGTTTATGATGAAATACGTCTTTACGTGAAAGCAAAAAAAAAAAAAATTAAAAAAGAAAAAGAGAAAAAGAAAAAGAAGAGAAACAAATGCACAGAATGTATTCGCGTGGATCGGAACAATATGTATGTATGTATTTCTCTACCGTCGTACGAAAATCAATGGCCGACGTACGACTGGCCTATATCCGATGTTTCCAGACATTAATTAAAATAATGAATTAATAATGACTTACGGATTGATAACAATGAAGAGCCCGTAGATTCATTTCTTTTTACGGACTTTTCCATCCTAAAATTCTGAGCGTGTATATATCATAGATATAATAGTATATACTTATACGTATATACATGCGCTTGTACATAGGAGTGTCCTTTTTATTCCGAACGATAAAATCGTATGAAAAAACGGATATAGGCGAATTTTCCGTCGAATATTATTTACGATATAAATATAAATACTTTCCTCTCGGCAAGGTTCCAAAGAATAACAAGAGAAAGAAAGAAAAATGAAAAAAAAAAAAAAACAAAGGGAAATAAAAACGAAGAAGAAAATAAAAAACAGAGAAACAAAAAGAAAAAAAAAAGAAACAACAAAAAACCAATTTTCGATAATTACAATATTATTGCCTTTCCGACTTACGCTTACGATCGATAAAGATTTTAGCGATACTTTTATCGAGTCACTCTCAATTGAAATTTTTACGTACAAAAGATTGTTATCCTTAACGATAAGAATATTTCGAATACAATGAGTAAAACCCTCGAATACTATTTTACCGATCGATATCAATGTATGTACATGTATAGAAAGGAAATAGTATACGAGCTATCAGTTTTATTAAAAAACTATCTGTGTATATGTAGACGCAAGCGTAGGCGGAAAGGATCGTTTTAATGATACGACCTCGCGTTGTACACCATTACTATAAATATTAATTCGACACGTTCGACCATTTTAACTAAAGGAAGGATGGTTCATGAAAAATATTTTAAATCTCGGCATAATAATTTTATAAGTACGATTAAGTACATACTACGCTAATCGGATTTGTATATATAGAAAAGAGCGATACATCGCCGACTGGACGTTATTATGAAGAAAGTATTGTATTTAAGTTTTTTAATTAATCGGAACAAACGAAGGAGATATTGAATTCGCTTTTAATGGTGTACCTTAACTCGTTGATCGCATTTTACATGGAAGAATTATAATATCGAAGGATTAATTGTCGGGAGCATTTTAGATAATTAAACGCGAAAAAAGTTCTCGGATATTTGCTTAGAAATTTTTATCACTCGTGGTCATTGATCGTCGAAATATCTACCGTAAGAAAAAAAAATATAAAAAAAAAAAATCCAAAAAAAGAAAAAGGAACAAAAAAAGAAACAAAAAAAAACGTGTTACTATGAAAAATTTATATAAGTTGTGTAATTAACGTACGTTATATAGTTAGCAAGTGAGGGAAGATTTTGAGTATATCTCGCAGGAATATTTGGTTAGATGTAGTATAACAAGAGGGAAAAAAATAAAAGAAAATAAAAGAAGAGTTCGTCGCGATTGAACATACGATAGACAATAAAGGAGATGCAAGTATCAAAAATGGAAAAATAAAAATAAAAAAAAATGAAAATAAATAAAAAAAGAAAACTCTCGCGCGATTTTCAATTCATGTCTTTCATACATTACTATCCGTAAGTTTCTTTTAAAATCGACAAACACGTAACTTTGCACACCGTGTCCGCAACGTAATTAACTTAAAATATGAAACGGGTCTGTAACAATTTTCTAGCGATACATATATATATATATATACATATATGTATAATGTGCTTGTAAATATGTCGATGATAATCACACCGAGAAAAAAGGGAGAGAAATAGAGAGAGAGAGAGAGAGAGAGAGAGAGAGAGAGAGAGAGAGAGAGAGAGAGAGAGAGAGAGAGATGTCATAGCAAATTTTTCGGATAATTAAAAACGGTGCGAGCGTAAAAAAAAAAGAAAAATAAAACGAACACAGTTGGAAATAGCAAGGTTTGATTCGATTTCTCATAAGAGATTCGAAAACATGTAAAATGATGTCGATTATTCGAAATGAAGCTTTATACCATATACATAAATACATACACACATATTTATATATGTATATATGATTCATATATATATATATATATTTGCTTTCTTTATCGGATAAAGTGTCTCCTTAAAAATAAGGAAATATTATATCAGAGCAAATCAAAAATTTGCGATATCGCATGTACATGGAGTCTTTCAAGAAGCATAGATTTCGTCTCGTTTACCTGGTACCTTAGATTTTGACCTTTTGCTGTCACGCACACTAATCGTACAGTTCGGTTTGTAGAAATTTTAGACGATATCAAAAAAGAGAGAGAGAGAGAGAGAGAGAGAGAGAGAGAGAGAAAGAGAGAGAGAGAGAGAGAGAGAGGGAGAGAAAGAAAAAAGATAAGAAAGAAAAAAGAATGAGAGGCAAAAAAAAAAAAAGAAGAGTAAAGAAACAGAAGGAGGCGAGTTTAAAAAAAGAAACTCACGATTTTTGTCGTGATCTCGTAAAGCTCGTGCGTCTGATTTCGATACGTGGCGAAACACATATCACCGATCTCGACAACGATTTTCAAAAGTCTCTAGGCATTTTGCACATTGTATTAAAAAAAGTAGAAAAAGAAAATGAGATGAGAAAATGAAAAAGAATAAGAATAAGAATAAGAATAATAATAAAAATAAACGAAGATGATGATGAAGAAGAAGAAGAAGAAGAAACATATATAATGTAAATGGCTGGTATCGCTGTAGTCGCAATGGGACCGTTTTAAGAATAAGACAAATTCTTATCTTTATCGCTCTTAATAATCCCTTTCGCTCTAATCATCTCGAATGATTCGCATAACGCGAAATAAAGGGGACAGAATGGATTCAGTCCTCCCTTAACATTTTTTCTTTTTTATTTCTTTTTCTTTTTTTTTTTTTCTTTCTTTTTTTTCTTTTCTTTTTCTATCAGACGAGACCATCGATGCGACTGATATAAATCAATTTCGATTGCTTTTTTCCCTTCGCAGGTATTTAAAAACAAAAAAAAAGACAAAAAGAGAATGAATTAGAAAAGAAGAGAAGGAAAGGGAAAGAATGAGAGAGAGAGAAAGAGAGAGAGAGAGAGAGAGAGAGAGAGAGTGAGAAAGAGAGAGAGAGAGAGAAAGAATACGAAACGCCGACGGGAAAACGTAATTAAAAAAAAAAATCAGTAAAGACTTACCTCAGTAAACATATACTCAAGAATCAAACGTCTTAAATTCGAGAATATATACTGTAGTGCCGATGTCCTTTGTATATTTTCAATACTGTAAATAGATATATAAATACGCCTTATTAAATAATTAATGGTAATTAATCAGCAATCACGCCGTACAACGGCTGGTCGATTTACGGATTATTGAAAATCGAAGTTGGTGCGTTTTACTAAGAAATAAAGAAAGAAAGTAAGAAAGTAGAAGGAAAGGATGAAAAGATGGATAAATGAAAGAGGATCTATGTGATTGGATAATTACGTGTTTAGCGGGAAGCTTTACGAGTTTTGAGAGAACATTTTATAAAAAATTAAAAAAAAAAAAAAATTAAAAAAAAAAGAAAGAAGAAAGAATAAAATAAAAGAATAAAT